TCCTCGGTCAGCATTATTTTTCAGCTCTAAATAGTGAAACTAAATCAAAGCAGTAAAACAAAAAAAGGATGTTTTCCTCTTGTATCAAACAAGTTTTTGGCTTAGAAAGTGAAGCCTTTACATAAAAATGAAGGCTGAACCACAAAGAGATTCCACTATACATCCAGTATAGTTAATATTAAGAAGACTGACACCAATAATGTTGGCGAGGACGTGGAGCAACAGAAACTCTCATCATCGTTGATGAGAATATAAAATGGCACTACCACTTTGGGAAAAAGTCTGGCAGTTTTTAAAAAAACTAAACATATACCTACTCTTTGACCCAGCAATTCCACTCCTAAGAATTTACCCAAGAGAAATAAAAATGTAGGGGCCGGCCCTGTGGCTTAGCAGTTAAGTGCGCACGCTCCACTACTGGAGGCCCGGGTTCGGATCCTGGGCGTGCACCGACCCACTACTTGTCCGGCCATGCTGAGGCTGCGTCCCACATACAGCAACTAGAAGGATGTGCAACTATGACATACAACTATCTCCTGGGGCTTTGGGGAGAAAAAGGGGGGAAAAAAAAAAAAAGGAGGAGGATTGGCAATAGATGTTAGTTCAGGGCTGGTCTTCCTCAGCAAAAAGAGGAGGATTGGCATGGATGTTAGCTCAGGGCTGATCTTCCTCACACACAAAAAAAGAAATAAAAATGTACGCCCACAAAAAGAATTGTACAAAAAATATTTATGGTAACTTTATTAATATTAGCTCCAAACTGGAAACAGCTCAGGTGTCCATCAATAGGAAAATGGATAAAGAAATTGTGATATATTCATACAACACAATACTACTCAGCAATAAAAAAGAACTATTGACACATGCAACAAGATGGATGAATCTCAAGAACCTTATGCAGAGTAAAAGAATTCTATCACAAAAGAGTATATATGATATGATTACTTTAATATAAAGTTTTAGAATAGTTAAAACTAATCTATGGTAGAAAGTCAGAACAGTAGTAGCTTTGGGAGGTGGGAGAGGGAATTGACTGGGAAAGAGCAGAAGAAAACTTTCCAGGATGATGGTAATGTTGCACATCTTGATAGGCTTTGGTTACATAATTCTATGCACTTGTCAAAACTTATGATTTGTGCATTTTACTGAAGGCAAATATAACCTCAAAAAAAGAACTATAATGAAACACTGAACACTAGTTATTTATATGCATGCTTAAGTATTTAGATGGAAGTGTATTAATGTTTGCAATTCACTTTGAAATGCATCAAAAAAAATTAAGATGGATTGACAGATGAACAGACGGGCCAATCTGATAAAGCAAATAAAGTAAAATGTTAATTGTAGAATCTAGGTGATAGAAAAATTAGTTTTGACTACAAAATTCTTTTGACTTTGCTATATGTTTGAAGATTTTCATAATAAAATTTTAGGGAAAGAATGAAGAATGATGGGAAACCACATGCCTACCTAAGGCAGTACAACCAGATTCATAAGTATTTTCCAGATTAGGGAACATCTAAAGCCTATTTCTTGCTCCGAGTTTTACAAGAGACTATGTGGAAGATTAAGATTTTCAAACAGAAATATGGTCAGTTATATATGCTGCAATTTGATAAATGTCTTGGTGACAGATATCCTGATGAAACTTACTTCTGCTGTTCCTACATGTACTGTTTTTCTCCATGGCTTTAAATGTTGCAGTTGTGTGACCTGTCATGACATTTCCTTTGACAGAGCTGAGACAAATTTAAGGATCAAAGAGCTCCAAGTGATTTTATAGATATTATCTTATTTATCCTTGAAGTAGTTCTAAAGAGTATAGTTGAGCAGGCATTATTACATCTATTTTACAGACAGAGAAAACAGGAGGACAGAGAAATTAAGAGACTTATTTAAGGTCACAAGGACACTAACAGCACCTATAATAATAATATATTGAGTGATTACTATGCCAATTTTACAATCATTCTCTTACTTAATCCTCATATAACCTTTCATTTTATACAGGGGTAAACCAAGGCTTACGAAAAACAAAGAGCTTGGCCAAAGTTACAAAGTCCATCATCCTAACTTCTGTCTAATTAGTCAATGGTTCTAAACAGTTTTTTCTGCCCAGACACATAGGATAGATGTTCACATACCTATGGGTATTATACATAATTTTGTCAGGTATGTGTAATGCTACTGCTTTTCTTTTTCTCTAAAAAGCACACTGGAATGCAAGTAAGCACACTGGAATGCAACGAATAATCTTGAATCTCATCTGATTTATATTTTACTAAAAGCAAATCATTTGTAGATTTTGGTGTTTCAAGTAAAATTAGAAACAAACTACTTTTGCAGCATTAAGACTGAGAATCTGCAATAGCCTGAATCTTCTAAGACCGTAGCTTGTATAGCGCACCATGGTCAAGTAGACTGGTCATCTTACTGAAGAGTAAAGTGTGGTACAACTCCTTGTAGCCCAAACTGCCCTCTCCAATTGGTTCTGAAGATCTTTTTCAAACCATCCACCAAATGTCTTTAACATATTTATATGCTAAAGAGAATGTAACCCCAAGTTTTAATGAAGGCCAAGGTTACTGAGCTCTAAAAGACGTCTTAGTGGATGATAAAGGAGCACAACTTTCAGCAATACAGCCAAGTCATCTCACCTTCCTCCTTCCTTCTCTCCCCACTCCCACAACCCCAGAGTTCTATAGAAACTTTAAATACTTTACTTTTTTCTCCAATACCCAGCTATATCAGCAGCACTACAGGTGCTACAGACTAAATGTTTGTACCCCCCCACCAAATTCATATTTTAAAATCCTAACCCCTAATGTGATAAATATTAGGAGAAGAGGCCTTTGGGAGGTGTTTAGGTCACAAGAGCAGAGCCCTCATGAATGGGATTAGTGCCCTTATAAAAGAGACCCCAGAGAGCACTCTAGACTCTTCTGCCATGTAAGGACATAACAAGACGGACATCTATGAATCAGGAAGCACGCCCTCCCAGGTACTCAATGTGCCAGTGCCTTGATCTTGGACTTCCCAGCCTTTCCTACAACTGTGAAAAATAAATTCTGTTATTTATAAGCCACCTCATCTATGGTATTTTGTTATAGCAGACGAAACAGACTAAGACAACAGATATCTATTCCAATTCTCGGAAATGATTTATAATGAAGGAACTAAGCCTGAATACTTTCCTCAGCCTCACAACCAGTTGACAAATTTAGTTGCTATTTGTTCTTTATCACATTGTTTCTCTATTCTAGTTCCTTTTCTATGGTCCCTATTATCTAATTTTTTTTTTAAGTCCGTGATTAACAGACCAAAAGCTCTACATAAATGTTCGCAATTTGAAGAAAAAATTTTTAAAATCTGGATTTAACAAGCAGAGGTGATTATTTACTTTACAAATTAAATTCTTACTTTATGAAAACAAACAAATACAGCATTTTCTTTAAAGATCAAGCTGTGTTGCATTTAGATGTCATTCAACATAGACACAATCTTTCACAAATAAACCTGTATGCAGCATGAAGCAATTTCTATAACGTCTTGAACTTTTAAAAGAAAGCAAACAAAAACAATACAAATATATCAGAATATAATTTTCAAAAGTGTATACATAGTTGGCAGTTAAGACTTTTTTGAGCTACTATTTCTCCAGAACCTACTATGTGCTTGGCTCTATGCAAAGGGATTCATATGTATTATCTCATTTAATCTGCAACTGAGTTAAGTATGATTATCTTTTTATTTTTTATTTTTTTACAGATGAGGACATGGCAGTTTACGGAGGTGAAGGGACTTGCTCAGAGCCTTCCTTTGAGCAGGTGACCTAGTTGGCATTCAAACCAAGGTCTGTCTGATTGTAGAGCTCAGCTCTTTCCAGCATACCACACGATATATTACAGAGCAGGAGTTTTAATGTCCCTATGGCCTAAAATGGCCAAGAAGGTCATTCAGCTTCTTTCTGTCTTCTCTGATCCATCCCATCCTGATTAGGCACCTGGCTATGCATTCGGATCAGAGGAGACCATAAAAGTGAAAGCACATTATAAAAAGTCTGTCCTTAACTACATCTTTAGACAAGTTTCTTTATTTCTTTTTCCTTTTCCCAAATCTCTATTCTAACATTAGGTTTACCAGTGCCATTTCATGGAACTAATGAAGACAAAGTGATAGAACCCAAATGGTTAGAGAACTAGGAGGGACATTAGAAATTATCCAATCCAGGGCCAGCCCCGTGGCTTAGCGGTTAAGTGCGTGCGCTCCACTGCTGGCGGCCCGGGTTCGGATCCCAGGCGCGCACCGACGCACCGCTTCTCTGGCCGTGCTGA